CCCACACCCCACGCTGCTTTGAAGACAGCCCTAGGTACTGTGGGACTTCACTCCTGTGCTGAATGCTATCATCATGCTTGAAAAGTGAGCAGTAAGTCCTTAAGTCATGCACAACAGCAGTGTCCCTTGTTCCTAGGTGGCTCTGAACTGTTTTCTAGGCTCGAGAAAAAGAGGCTTTGGGTGATCCTTGGCCACTGCCCTTCTAGTCTTTCAGTCAATGCGCTTCATTTGCCCCTTTTTCCCAGAGTTATTTGTTAGAAACTTGGGCCCTTGTCCTGTAAAGCTACACACAGTTTTCTCTATCCCTGCAAAATTCTCTTGATTCTTAAATGCAGATGATTCATCTGAACTCTTGTAAAATCCAGCCTTCTGAGGCTCTAGGGAACACCTGGCCCTGGATGGCCCTAGACAGTGTAGGAGTTTACAGCTGAGGCTCAGGGTATGCCAGGAAAAGAGAGTGCTCATCCCTCTCTGAAAGCTGGGAATGGACAGGGCTCCACATTCAGTCACTAGCTGACCTCACAGATTCACTGTGAGACTTCCCAAAAGTCCCTTTTCTCCCACTTCCTCCCTGGAAAGTGAAGGACAACAAGGCTGTAGGGCCTGAAAGTTACACAGTTTTCTCCAATTTCCCTGGACTTGCTAATGGCCCCATCATGGTGTCCTTTAGCTGACATCCCTGAAGTATTTGTTGTGCTTGCAGTCCAGTGGTTGAGCCCAGGTGAGAGGCTGTCCCCACTGAGTCCTGATCTCCTGTGTGCATCCTCAGTAGCTCATCCACCCTTGTCGTCCTGGGTTCCCTGGGATTAGAACCACTCTCTTGCTAGGCATCCCAGGGGCTTCCTGTGCCCAACACCTGGCACTTGGGACCACAATGCCAATGTCCTTCACACAGTGGCCACACTTTGGCCCTGCCCCATGCCCTTTCTCAGACCCTACCTACCCCATCATCCAAAGGGGTGGGGTCCTTGGGGGTAATGTGAGCTCCTGTGTTTGTGCATTGTCAGGTACATTGTATTTATTGCTGTTTTTATATCCACTGATAGGCAAGCCACCCCCCTCCCAGGGGAGCCTTTTCTGGATGGCACCTTAGTTTTTTGAAAGGTTCCCCGGGAGGTTTGTGGCGGCCTGCCTCCCTTTCCAGTGTGATAGTCTCTTAGGTTCTTCGTACACACTTTCTCTTCTTTTAATGAGATGTGGTGCTAGGTTCAAACACCCAGGTACCAGGGAAGTGAGTTCCTCTTCTGTCTGTTAAGAAATACTATCTTTTTTTGAGAAAATGGGATCTAGAGTTTGTATTGATAGTCCAGCTTAGTGATACAGGGCTTCACTTGAACATTTCAATTTTCTCCAATACTGAAACAATCTTACTTTCTAGTGGCATTAACTAATTTGCTTTATTCTATCTATCTGTATTTTAGAGAACATCTACAAGTTTACTTTGCATTTAACTTTGTGCTAGTTGGTCCCCCACTCTGGGTATTAATCAGGTCACGGCATTTAAAAACCATTTGAGACAACTCCTCTCCATGAGATTGCGCCACCCACACGTTAAGCTCCTTTGTTTCACTCTTGAAATCAATGTTCCTCAATTTTAAGGTATTGCCTTTAATTTCTTATTTTAGTTTTAAAATTTTGTAGGACAAGTCAAATCAAATCTATGCACCCAGCAGAAGGGGTGGGTTCAGAAAAGCCCAGCTCCCTAATTACCACTCCCCGCCCTGCCCTGTATGTTCTGTTGCTGCTTATCCTATTGCTTGTTTCCTTTCAGTCTAAGTGAATGTATGTGGGTACAGACACACCTGCAGCCCTCCTGGAGCAAATGGCTGGAGCAAATGGCTGAATCCATCCTGCGATTCTGACCCCAGCAAGAATAGAAAATGATCTTGGTCCCTTCCTACAGCTGCACAGCCTTGCACAGGGAGGAGGAGTTCGCTCTTGTCCTCACACACTGCCATTCACCGAAGCACTGGTGATCACGACAGACTGTACCATGGCTGCTGCGCAGCTCCACCAGTACCCACCGGGATGAGCACTGCCTCAAAGCTTGGAGAAGTTGAGTCGCACATTGTAGGTCTGGGAAGAGCAGCCTTAAGCCTCTGAGGCCAGACTCCCCAACATCAGCAACTCCAGTGGAGACTCCTCCCAGCCGTGCCAACCCAAAGGCTCTGCCAAGTCCCACCCAATAGGAAGTGGAGTGGATGACTGACTCCACCTCGCTCCAGGCACCCACACAGAAAGGTCTCTGGGAAGCCAGACCTCAGACAAGATGGGCGATGGTAGCTTACTGGTGTCTTAGTCACCTTTTCCTTGCTGAGATATAATACCTGACACCCATAAGTCAAAGGAAGAGAGGTTTATTTTGGCCTACAATTTGTAGTTTTCAGTCCATTGTCCATGAGCTCCAAGGTAGAGTGGCTCAGCACAGGGCAGGAGAGCAGCTTATGGCAGACAAGAAGCAGAGAGATCAAGGGAGAAATCAGGAGAGAGATAAACCCTTCCAGGCCATGCCCCAGTGACCACCTCTTCCAAACAGATCCTGTCTTCTAATTTCAAGTCACCTTTAAGCATCATAACCCAATAACACTTCAAAAGCGCTGCCTCTGGGTGCAAGAAGCTCTTAGGGGACATTGGATAGAAAGCAGAATGTCTGAGCTAGTGCCTTACTCCCTGAAGTTGAGACCCAGCATCACCTATGGGGAACTCTGGAACCTAGCACCTGGTCATGCTGGTACCCAGGAAGAGCTCTGTATTCAGAAATGGCAGCTCACAGTATGGAACCTGCAGCAGGCATGAAGAGGTTGGAAGGGCTTGGAGCCCAAGGTCCCCAGAGAGTGGGCATGGGTCTTTGCAGTCATTGAGTATTCCCCTCCAAGGAACCCAGGAGGAGCCCCAAGCCCTAAGGTCACAATGGAACCATAGCAAGTGGTGGGGAGCCCCTGGAGTGTGCGTATGGGGACTATGTGTGCTCGGTGCCTTCCCTAGCACCTAGCTGCACAAAGCCCTGACTGCCACATAGAGGCTCTCAGAGCCGCCTTCTGAGTCCCATTACAGCCAGCACATGTCACACGTGTCACTCTAAATCTCCTACCTGCCTCATTCAAAAGAAAAATAGTGAAAACAAATTTTAATAACAGATCTTGTAAAACCCAGAATACCCAAAGGATAATGTTCCTGAACTTATAGTAGATGACAGCCCAGTAAACCCTTAAGGAAGCTGGACTATCGATTAGAACTGCACAGAATGTCCCTAATAGACCAGTGTCACTGTCTCACCATTGGGAGAGGGGGAGCTGTAGGTAGGGTCATTTTAGGCCAGAAATCTTCTACATGATCATTTTTAATATGTAGTCAATACAGAACATTGCTGAATTTTTTTTGGGGGGGGAGGATTAATGGTGTCTTTGGTTCCATGTGTACCTCACAGTGTGTTTCAGTGTAGACTTGTCACGTAAGTGCTCATTAGCTGAGATGGTGATGGGATGAGGTGGACCAGGACCCCCAAAACTCTCATGGGCTCCAAGGCTGAGTTTGGGAGGTGCTTGGGTCATGGGGGCTTCTGTGTGCACTGGTGGATCCATCCACCTAGGTGCTCTGGGGCTGAGTGTACTATGAAGAGGTGGGGCCTGGTTGGAAGAGGCTTGTCACTGGGGACACAGCCGGAAAGGGTTCATCTGCTACACCGATCTTGCCCTGGACCACCTTGCCCTGAGCTGAAAGCTCGAAATGCAGGGAGTCCAGATGCACCTTTTAAGTTGTGGGTGTCAATCATTGTGCCCCAGTGATGAGAAAGTATTGAAGACAGACAGTCTGTGTCCACTGGTATCCGGAGCAGCCAGCTAGGGTCTTGAACCAAATCCAGCCCAGTACAGCTGGATAAGCTGAGAATGGTTTCCACCGATTCCCACAGTTGGAAGGAAAGCCAAACACTACTTTTGACTTATGGAAATTACTTGAAATTCAAATAAATATGCACTCTGAAGGTTTCTGGGCTGTGTTCATGCTCTTTGTTATGCAGAGCTTGTCTCTAATTGTGGTTACAAGGAAGGTCCTCCACTGTGAGGTTGCAGGCAAGAATGCTCTAGAGACTAGCTCCTCCCAACCCTGGCTTCCCAGATACGTGGCGGTTCTGAGAGACAAGTTCCCTGCTCTCTGGATCTGCAGGGAGATCAACCTCGAAGCTGGTCACTATGTTTTGTTTTATTTTATTTTATTGCATTTTGAAAAGTAAAAACAATAGCAAAAACAAAGAATCTGGTCACTATGGCTTTGTTGTGTTTGATGGCATTTTAGTACCATATTTACCCCTTTCACAATGTGGGTTCTCTCACTTGTTTAGAGTTCTCACTGTAAAGTTTCCAGCAAAGAACCCTGAAAAAGGACAACTCTCCTCCAGGGTGGCCCTTGGGTAATTCTGACAATTGTTATTCTGGTGTCTGGCTGTTCAGACAGGAACGTTAGCCCAGGAAGAGTGCTCAGCTTCTGGGTCTGTAGTGGATTTTCAAGCTGTGCCCCCTAACAGCAGGGGCCCCACCCCCCAGATCAGCCCCTTGCCCGGGTGCAGGACAGCCCTGGGCAGCACAGGTGTCATCCCAGTGTCATTCAGACAAGGTCACCTGACAGACCCCCATGGGCAAGCTGGGCCTTAGCCTCCAGGGACACACCAGTGCTCGCTGTCATCCTGAGGACACGCCTTTTATTTGTACCAGTAATTGAACTCAGGACTTTGCATTTGCCAGGCAGGCTCTGCACCACTGAGCTATATCCCCAGGCCCTCTGGGGACACGCTTGAGTGGCGCCAACACAGGTCACAGGCAGGGGACAGTCCCTTTCCTGCTGCTGTCAGCTGCATGGCCTCTGGACCTCTGCACATCTCAGTTTCCTCATCTGTAAGGAGGAAGCACTGACCTCACTCAGGTGAACAAGGATGTCATGGAAGGAGAAGTCCATCATGTAGGGAGAGGGTTTATCATTATTATTTTTAGGCTAGAAGAACGCACCAGGTTCCTGCAGAAGTCCCCTGAAGAAATCTGTGCTCTCATGGAGAAATGTTGTCGCTGCTCCTGTCAAGCAAGCAAGAAAATCCCATGAGTCACTCGGGGTCACTTAGAGGAATGGGAGCTTCAGATGCCCAGAACCCGAAATGAGTTGCAAGGCCCACGCTGCTCAGCTCTTGGCCTCAGCTTCTGAAGGCATCTTATGGGGGACCCTCAGAAGCAGAGTGGGTTGACTGTGCCGTAAGATTCAGCCACTGGCCCTCCTGCTTGTACCTGCACTAGTAGGCAGGGTGGAGGACAGCCAGCTTGCCCATCTGGGCCCCAGAACCCCTGCAGGGATGGGACCTGAGTGCGCCACCCAAGGACAGCTTTATTTATGCTCTTGCAGAATGGACATGCGGGCCTTGTTTTTCTGGATGGTCAGGAGCAGGCTGGCTCACACAGTGCCCATGAGGCTGCTACATTTAGAACCGTGTCTTCATTCACATTCTTTCCACGCGGCTCACGGCTGCTGGACTGGAAGACAGGGGTCACTTTGCCTGGACCAAGCCCCCAGGAGCACCGCCAGCACCTGACCATGAGACCCTGGGTTCTTGGTTGAGAGCTCAGCTTTGCCCTTGTCTTAGGGTGGTTTACACCAGGACAGAGCATGGGACCCATGGTATGAGAAGGGTATAGGCTTTCCTGGGGACAGGAGGCTCTGCAGCCACCTCCCCCATGCAGGCTGGCTGGGTGGGGCTGTGAAGCAGGCTTTGGGGTCTCACTGGGACAGCTGCTCTCCTGACCCTGCTGCTGACCCTGTTGACCAAGCTGCCTGCCACCACTGCACTCCCCCGGTTTCCCCTCACAATTCTCCTTTCCCAGCTACTTCAAGCAAGCACCACTGGCTCCTTGGGAAGAGCACAGCTCTGCATTCCTAGGATCCTAAACCAGACTCTCCCCACCTGTGAAGAGTTATAAGTCAGGCAAGAGCATCCTGAGGAAAGGAAATCAAGTCAGAAAAGATTGGAGCCTCTGAAGACTGCGGCCCCAGCTACAATTGCCCCAGAGCCACCTCCTGCATGAGGTTTGACAAAGCTGAAATTCCTAGCACCTGGGACAAAATGACTTGGGTCAAGCACAGCTGGCACATGGACTGGCTGTACATTTGTTTCCATGTGTCACAGGAAAAAATATGAACTAACATATGACGTCTATGATTTTCAGCCATTGTTCATCATCATAGTCTGCTCAAAACTGAACTGTTGATTGACATTTTCTTTAAAGAAAAATGGTCAACAAATTATCATACACATGGCTGAGGCTGTGGCAATAACCAGGAAGAGTGGTGAACATTTGAGAAGCCTGAGGGCATGAGTACAGTGTATTTATGTTCGTGATCTTCTGGAACCTTCAGCCCCAAAGAGCATGAACACTCTCTGCTTGAAAGGTGAGTACACGGAGGCTCACAGCAGTAGGGTCACTTAGCTGGTGCCTCTTCTTCAGGACTTTGTGGTTCTGTTCCTTCCAAACAGCTTCAAATGAAAGGGCACAGACCTGGGCCATGGGCCCTGGCCACCAGCAGTGTCAAGGCAGTGGTGGTGCTAGGCCCCAGCTGGGGTTGAGGCAGAGGTGGCTGCCCTTGAGGAGCCACAAGTGGGAGGGGCAATCCACAAATAGATCAGTGATACCAGTGCTGCAGTGCTAAGGCACCACAGGGAGCAGGGCACCTGCCAGGGGAGCAGGGCACCTGCCAGGGTCTGGCCACCTCAGTTTTCTTGGGCCACAAACAAGGGGAACTTCAGAAGGGTTTTGGAAAAGTAGCAAAATCTCTGACACTAAATCCTGACAGTGAGTGGATCCTCATGGAGCCAACTAGGAGAGGGTCAGAAAGGTGTCCCGGAGCTGGCATGGGTCAGTGAGTGAAGCCTGGTAAGGAGTTGGGGGCCTCAGGGCAGTGCAGCGAGCTGGTGACCTTGGGCCAGTATAGAAGGTGGTAGTGGACAGCTGGCCACAACTCTGCTCTAGAGACCAGGGGTCCCCACCTGGAAGGGTTTGCAGCATTGGTACTGCACTCTGCAAGGGACTGGGCAGCTGAGGCAGAGCTCAGCACGGGGTCACTTACCTGACTCCTTCTGATTATTCACCGCCTTCCGAACTGTCCCCCATACCCCAGCCTGGCCTGTCCCCAGCCTGCAGCTGGGCAGATCATTGCTCCAAAACTCAGCGGAGAGTGGCTCCTTACTCGAGGAATGCAGGCCTGGCTCGTCCAGAGCTGATGATGAAACGGGCTATTTCTGCTCAGGGACATCAGCAGGCTGCCGGGTGCTGGCCCCAACGTACACACGATCATGTTTTCAATCTTTCTCTAGACAAATATTTTCCTTCCCACCTTGAGATGTTTTTATTTACTTCTTGATGCTTGAATGGCTTTAGGAGTCACTGTGGATGAACGCAGGCCATGGGCTGGGTCCAGCTAATCGGCAAGCAATTTCTTGCTCCCTAAGTTATCTATTACCCGGGCTGATCTGGATGTAAAAATAGCCACTGAGGCTGTTTGTTTAATCTGACTGTTACTTGACACCACGCGGGTGTCGCCGGGTGGACTGTTTGCCTCTTCCCCTCTACAGCACTCTGGTCCCCGCTGGGTCTCTGCTGAGGTAAGCCCCTCAGACTCCAGGGTCTGGCCGTAGTGGGGCGGGTTTGGGAGAATCAAGTTGGGAGGTGTGGGTCTCCTGCCTTCTGTCCCCCAGGCAGCTCTGGCCCACAGGGGAAGAAGCCGACTGGGTTGCCGGACATAGGCACTTTGGTCTGGGAGGCCTGTGGAGCAGCAGCTGGGACGGGTGGCATAGAAGGCGCGGTGCAGACACGGGCGGGTCCCTTGGCATGACCAGGGCACTACCAGCTAATGGTAGAAGGGACTTCTGCCGGAGTTGGCCGTGGTGTGGGGTGCATGGGGTGGTGGTGGGTGAAGGCCCTCTGGGCATAGTGCATGAACTGTGTACTAAGGTTCCCACACGCAAGAATTTGTCCTTATTTGTCATCTACCAGGGCTCTCTGCTCCCATGCAGCTGAGTGAGTAGTCGCTGCCCAAATGCTGGTCCCTGTGTGGCCAGCCAGGGTGACCTCACTGGCCGCAGTGGGGGCAGTCAGGTAGGAGGAAGTGACACTCTGGTCTCCCCCAGAGTTGAGCCAGGCAGGGTCCCCACGGCAGTAGCAGGGGATGTGGCTATGGGACATTCTGGTGTGTGGTCGCTGGAGGCACATGGGTCCATAGCACAAAGCCCTCCTGTCCCCATGCACACAGAGAGCCCAGCCAGCCTCCTGCAGCTTCCTGGGTCCACCTGAAAAAAATACTTTCTTTTATGGAGAAAAATTGATAGGTGAGAAGAATAGCTTTGACTATGTATAAAAAGCTCAAGACAAGTTACTCAGATTATAAAATGCCACCACAAGGTGAAGAACCTTGGAGAATAAATTTTAAAATATGCATGGTAAGTGATGTCCAGTTTTCCAGTGCTAGAAAACTTCTGCCTCAGTCAGTAGGGAACTTGGCCTGCGGGCACTTAGTGTTGTAAATAAAGTTTTATTGGCACATGGCCATGGTTGCTTATGGTCTATGGCTTGTTTTATACCACACCCACAGGGACCATAGGAGCTGCCAGAGCAAAGTCCTTAGCTGTGTGGCTCTTTGCAGAAGTTGGCTGCAGGGGGCCAGTGCAGCACCCTACACCCCAAGAGCTCAGGAGAAGCTCTTGCAGAGAGGCCAAGCTTGAGCAGTCCTGGGCCCAGAGGCTGGTGTGCTGGGCCTCTGCCCTCCACAGCCTGCTTTCAGGTCTGGCTGGCACAGGAAATTTTCTGTTTGCTGTGGAGGCGCTGGGAGGCTTAGCTTCACTGTGGAGCCACCAACTGTGTGTCATGTCTGTGTGGCCAGCCGAGCAAAGCAGATTATGCTTATCAAGTGGTTTATAAATAGCCACCGTCTCTGGGTGACCCAAGTCCAGCCCATGTCTGTCCCTGGGTCTCCAGACTGGGAACCATTGTGCCTACTCTTCAATGACAGAGTTTGTTGGATGGAACTGCGTGTCTGGTAGCAGGAAGAGGCTGGTGGCATGTGGCCCTGTGAACTAAGGACCCTAGACACCAAGAGCAAGCAGAAGGAGGCATGTGGGATAAGCAGAGATGAGTGTGTCCACCGCACCACCCCTCCCTGCATGTGCTACCCCTGTCCTGTCCCCAAGAATGCCCTGGAGATCCTCACAGGAGAAGGGAAGCCCTGGATCTGGAAGTAGGCAGTTCCAGCCTCTGCCAGAGCTGGGAACAGGGTGCCATCTGTGGCCAGGCTGGGCTGCTTGATTCTGTGTGTCTGATTCTAGTAGAGAGGACCCCAGGGCAGAGCAGGAAGGCCACCCGGGTGAGCTATACAGTGGTGATGTCCCCACCAGTCCAGCTGATCCACAACCTGCACTCAATGGCAGGGCTCATGTAGTCAGCTGAATACTCCCAGAGGCTTCTGTGTGTCTGCTGGGTCCCCAAGGGTTTCAGGATATGAGCCAGGAGGAGGCTAGAGGAGGAGCTGGGGATCTACCCAAGGCAGACATGGGGACTCTGAATCAGAGTGTGTGAGCCTGCTGCCACCAGAGTGTCACCCAGCAAAAATCACAGGCTCCTGCGGCACTCAGTTGAATGGGTGACCAGTGGAGTCTGAGTGACAGTGGCCTCCTGAGGTCAGGGCAAGCATGTGGATTCCTTGCTGGCTGGCACATGATGGCATCCTTTGCAGACCCTGCCTTGGTTGGTTCCATCCCCATTCCAAGTACCAGGAATGTCTTTGTCCCTGGGACCTGAGAGCCCTCTGTCCTAGGACAGTGTCTTAGGGATGCTCTCCTGGACAATGGGGATACTGGCTGATCTCAGTGCAACCCCTGAGGACTCAGACCAGAAAACAAATGAGCCAGGGGCCCACGGCTCCCTGAGGTGCTGGGCTCTTCCTTATCTTGGGCGGCTCCTTCCTCCTCAAGTGGCCCTTTCCAGACCTTGAGCGTCACAGGCAGAATCCTGACTCAACCTCTCCTGTCTGAAAGCTTCGCCAGAGCATGTGGAAGCAGGAGACGAAAGGCTCAACTCTCTTCACCACTTCCCTTGGGTTCCAGCAGCCACCCAGCTCTCTGTCACCCCTGCCTGCCACGTCTGGAGGCTGCTTCCAGACTTGTGCCACTGAGCCCCTCTGCCAGGGCCAGGGCACGTTGGAGCTGCCTTGGCAGCTTTGTCCTGGGGCCTCCAGGCCACATGTGGCATCACCAGCCTGTCCCTTCCTCTGGCCCTGTGGGCCCCTCTCAGAAGCCAATCAGGCCCAAAGGCTACAGAAGTTATGGTCAGACACTCAGAGCTAAGCATTTGGTGTCAATTGCCAGTCCTGGGCCCACCCTGGATGTGGTGGCCACTGCTGTCTGTAGTACCCCTGGGTCAGAGCCCTTGTGGTTCTGTTGCGAGCCCAGAGGTCACCCAGCACAGTGAGGCTTGTGAACCGCTTCCCAAGGGACAGCACTGAAGTGCAGGGAGGTTATGTCATTTTCCCAAAGATGCACAGCTCATGAAGGGGTCAGAAGTTCAGTGGTCAGGTGACCTGCAGCCTTGTACTCTACAACACCCAGAAAACGTGAGGTGGAAGGCCTTTGGCCCTTCAGGAAGCTGCCTGGAAACCTGTGGCAGACCAGAGCCACAGCCAGCCCTGCTTCCTCCCAGAAAGCCCCGAGCCTAAGTTTTCCCCCTGTGAAATGGGGACAACACTAGTGGCCATGCAAGGGCCACCACAGTGTTATGGACAAATGAGTGCTAGGCACTTGGCATGGGGGAGAAACACAAGAACTGCTTGTCCCTTCCCAGGATCACCAAGGAGAATTCCCTTCCTGCTCACTGCTCAGCTAGGGAGCAGCTGGCACCACCTGGGCCTGGCCCACGCCTTTAGTGACCACTGGTCACTGGCCTTGACTGTGGATCACCTTTGCCTTTTGGAGCAGAAAAAGCTTCAGGCCTGTACCTTCAGCACTCAGAGTGGAGTCCTGAAGGTGACATTTGTAAACCTACAGCAGGGCCTCAGCACACACGGGGCACCCTCTCTTCCCCACCGCCCACCACTTCCAGGTCACATTTGCAGAATTTGAATGCTTCCCATGAATCCAGAAATGTGCTCTGTAGCATCATGTTTGGCCAGGTTGGCTCAGTGGCAGCCTAGGAAATGCTGACATGGGTTCCCAGGTACACTGGGCCATGTGCACAGGGGGCCGCCAGACCCTGGAGGTGCAGAAGGGAGTGGATGGATGGTCCAGGGGACCCAGAGGACAGGCTCAGAGGTGACTGTAAGGCTGGGGGCTGCTCAGGGTTCTGCTCAGGTCTGGGTCAATTCCAGGGCTTTACTTCACTTCCCTCAGCTCTGTGGTGAGGAAGGGCAAAGCCACTGCGGAGGCTCCAAAGAGCCCTGACCTAGGGTTGCCCGGGTCATAGGCTGGTGACAATGGTCTCTGTTAGGTGGTGTCAAGAGCCAGCCTCATCATCCCCACGACAGATGTGTGAGGCAAGAAGTGTTACTGGTCTCATGTCCGAGATGAGGGAACTGAGGGTCACGCAGGACCAGCACAGCTGAGATCCAAGCCCAAGGGGCCCACACGCTTCCCATCAGCTGCCTATGCCCCATCTGGGGGGCAGAAAGGATGTACATGGCACTTAGTTCTCATTCACGTTGGCACACGCTGGCAGCACACAACAATTGTGTTCCGGGGGCAGGTGGTCCATGTGCGCAGCTCATCTTAATTCTTTGTGTGTCCCCTTCTCCTCCTTCCCCACTCTCTCTCCGTCACTTGGTCCCTTCTCTTTTGCAAAAGACCTATCTCTGTTTCCTATTGGCTGTCTCTTATTTTGCTCCTCCACTTCTTTATACTTTGAGTTCTTCACATAAGAGAAACCACACAATACTTAAGCTTGCATATGTGTCACTTACTTCACTTAAATTTACGGTCTGGGTGGGTCATTTTCCTACAGATGACTCCAGTTTAACCTTCTTTATGGCAGAGTAGTACTCTACAGCATGTATACAGCATGTTTTCCTTAACCATTTATCCGTATATGGACATAAAGGCCACTTCCAAGATGAAGATATTATGAACAAGCATGGATCATTTTAATATGAGGTCTTGAACTCCTTCAGAAGACATCTAGAAAGAGAAGAGCTAGATCCAGTGGAATTTCGAGCTTCAGGCCTCAGGACTCTACACAGCACCTACTGGGTGCTTCTCAGATGCCCTTAGTGATGCTGTTGGGCATTATTTCTATTATGGTGGATGTGGACCTTCTTCCCTGAAGACTCCACTTCCAAAACCCGAGTTCTCTGTCTTAGTCGCTAAAGTCCCACTGACTGCGCTT